AAGTTTTTCTTAAATCCAGCTGAGCTCCATTTGCCAGAACATTCCTATGCCAGGTTAACCAGAATTTAACAAGGTTAAATAGATGAGAAGTTATAAACATTAGCAGGTCCTTTGATCACGGATGTTAGTAGCATTCTGGGAATGCTTACCTACATCTTGTCAGAATACTTCATTTACACACTGTGGGCACAATCCAGTACATACTGATGTTGGTGGAAAAGCTTTTATCGATGTCAGTTTCATCAGGTCTTCTGTTTCTTTCTTTTTCTAAACAAACTAGCACAGCTTCAAAGCCCAGGAAACTCTGGCTTTTTCTATTGGTTTTACCTCTACTTCCAGTTCTTTTATTTTTTTAAAGCAAGTAAGCCGCTACTATAGAGCAAAAACTATTAAGAGAACTTTAAGGTGTGTAGTTTAGCATTTTCTGGACCTCTGAATGCTTGTGTGTGAAATATTTGAGTAAGAAATGATAGTCACTTTCAGTTATTACAACTCCATGTGTGACATTTCATTAATACATTGTAATGTAAATACATTGCTGCTGCTTAAAATGGATGGATACTTTGAACCTGAATGACATTTTTAATGAGAGAATATGTCAATTTTCATTTTGCATGCAAATTAGTAGAACGCATGAACTCTTCAAATTTTCTCTCCTTGTGATACAGATTCTGTTGCTCTTCTCATTGATGAGCACCTTATCTCTGTAGTAATCCCACTGATTACTTGAGGAGCAAGTGTGAAAGTGCAAAGGTAGCAGCCTCAGTTCCCAAGGAAGAATTCTTATTCCTGAAGGATTTTCTCCGTGACCTAGAGAAAGTAAAGTACAAACTTTATTAAAGGGGTTGAGGATAAATTGCGTGAAAAGGTTACTATGTTTCTACGGAGTCAACCTAGTCAAACAGACTAGCATATATGTATATTATTACTACAACATGTATTTCTCCAAGAAATCATTTATGAGATTTTGAGCAAATGAATAAAAATGTGACAATATTATTTACCACAGAAAGCACCATTACATGTGTGATTATGTCATATAAAGCCATAGAAAATAGAGATGAAAGGGACTTTGAAAGGTCATCTAGTCTTCTTGAACCAAAAACAGGACCAGCTATGTCTGACAGATGTTTTTCTCACTGATGTATGTCTAACCTGTTTTGTTAAAAACCTCATGTGATGGAGATTCCACAAGTGATTTATTCAAGTGCTTAACTGTCCTTACAGCTGGGAAGTTTTCCTTTAATGTCTCGCCTAAATCTCCACTGCTGTTGTTCTGTCCGCAGTGGACATAAAAAACAGTTTATGACCTCTCTCGTATATTAAAAAAAAAAATTGGCATTTACTACTTTTGTGTGAATGTACAACTGTTGCAGTTGAAATATTCATTATAAATTAAGTTATACTTTATTCTAAGATTTGGAAAAATAGTCACACATTAACTTTTATTTCTAGTCACAGAAGAATGACAGTGCTCTCCTAGGAGCATGACAATAATTTAGCTTGAATATATGGCTTGCGTCTATTGTGTTAAAAAGGTTTATAGTTTATGTAATTATGAGATGTGTTCTGTACCTAGACATTACCAAATGTAACGGTTTAATAGGTATTTTACAGGCCCCTATAAAATAGTATGAATGTGAGGCCCCTATCCCTAGCTATGTACTTTTTTGATAGTTATTTGTAGGAAGTGGTGCATGTACACATTATGATATGCATTTCACTTTGTGTCATGTGTCACTGCAAAATTCTACTTGTTCACTGAAGAGACAGTCACTTTTATTGGTGTGTGTCATAGTTACAAAGTGAACCACATCTTTTAACTACTCTCAAGTACATTCCAGAGGCAGGGGCAAATTTAGGGGGATAAAAGGGTGCAGTTGCCACTTTCATAGTTTCTAGGGTCAGAAGGGACCTGAGAAGATCATCTAGTCCGACCCCCTGCCATGGCAGGAAAGAGTACTGGGGTTAAACGACCCCAGCAAGGTGTTCATCTAACCTCTTCTTAAAAACCCCCAGGGTAGGAGCCTGCACCACCTCCCTTGGAAGTTGGTTCCAGACCCTAGCCGCCCTGACCGTGAAATAGCGCCTTCTGATGTCTAACCTAAATCTACCCTCTGCTAGCTTGTGACCGTTGTTCCTGGTCACTCCTGGCTGTGCTCGGGGGAACAGTGACTCCCCCAATGCCTTCTGATCCCCCCTGACCAGTTTGTAACAGGCCACAAGATCCCCCCTCAGCCTTCTCTTGTGGAGGCTGAACAGGTTCAGGTCCCGTAGTCTCTCCTCATAGGGCCTGCCCTGCAGTCCCCTGATCATGCGAGTGGCCCTCCTCTGGACCCTCTCCATGCTGTCCACATCCCTCTTGAAGTGCAGCACCCAGAACTGGACGCAGTACTCCAACTGCGGCCTGACCAGTGCCGCATAAAGGGGGAGGATCACCTCTCTGGACCTGCTCGAGATGCATCTGTGGATGCATGACAAGGTACGGTTGGCCTTCCTGACTGCATCCCCACACTGCCGACCCATGTTCATCTTGGAGTCAATGATGACTCCAAGATCCTTTTCCGCCTCCGTGCTGACAAGAGGGGAGTTCCCTAACCTGTAGGTATGGTGCCGGTTGTTCCTCCCCAGGTGCATCACCTTGCACTTGTCTGTGTTGAAACCCATCCTATTCTTATCCGCCCACCCTTGTAACCTGTCCAGGTCCGATTGTAGCCTGCTTTTTCCTTCTAGTGTGCCCACGTCCCCCCACATCTTAGTGTCATCAGCAAATTTGAACAGGGTGCTTTTCACCCCCTCGTCCAAATCACTGATGAAGATGTTGAACATTGCGGGCCTGAGGACCGAGCCCTGCGGAACCCCACTGCCCACGTCCTTCCAAGTTGAGAAGGACCCATCCACTTTGATTCCTGCTGTACACAAACTTTAAAACCAACTGCCTGGGAGAGGCAGTGGCATTTCTATTCAGGCAGCAAGCAGTGAGGAAGTCAACTGACTTCATGCCTCATTATAAATAACCTAATTCCTGCTAATGTCTCTTCATTCCATAGGTGTTAATGACCCACTGCCCTTTTCAAGTAATTTTGCTGTCTGTTAGCCATTCCTGGTAATCTCTTTTCTGTTTCAGAGACCTAACCACTATCCTAGTTCTAGCTAAAAACTGTGGCTGCTGACAGATATGGGGGGTGGGGGAAAAGTGCTCTATCAGAAGAAGCAGCGCATTAGTTTGACCTGGTTCTACAGTGTCTGTATAGAACAGGGCTTCAGCAGAGTTTTTTAGTGCTTTTATCTAATAGCTGATTCAATCAGCTATTAGATAAAAGCACCAAAAAAGCCTTGCTAATGCACCCCAATCTATATGGATGTTGGGTGAGCTAAGTCCAGTTAACACAGTGCCTCTTCTGGGCATGTGCTGGCTCAGTATGGGAACACGCAGAGTTTCAAGTAAAGCACTGTTTGTTTGTTTGGGGGGGGCTTTGTTTTGTTTTTAACATCTCCTGAGTGAGCAGCCCTAAATCCAGGTGTAGTAAGATTAACTCAGGTGACTGATCGTTAAGTATTGAAGGCACTGTCAAGACCCTCAAGAAGACTAGATTTTGTTTTATGAATTTGAAAAATAGATGTATATTTCACTATAATGACTACAGAACCGATGACACCATATCTTCTGACCATTTTTGCCTAGTTTCTTGTGCTTTTTAAATTGAATATATTATATTACAAATTAGTGAGTATTCCAATAAAGTTACATTTGTTTTTGTGTTGATCTTAAACTGAATAACATAGTTCTAGGCCCATAGCATATTAGTAAAGCCTTCTGGCTTCTTTTTAACTGGAGAAAAATGTGTCATGTTATATGTGATGATACCCCACACCATCTGCACCCCCCCTTTTTGAAATCCTAGATCTGCCCCTGCCCAGAGGTGACAATTCTAGCAACCATCTACCTCTCCGCAGAATGGATCCACGTAGTTCAGGCACATTAGAACTGTATCTTTGGGCAGCAGCCTTCCTGTTGCCCAGCCATGTTAATACAGCACACCCAAATAGACAAGACTTCTTCACAAGCCCTTTTATTTTGGAAGCCTGTCACACTGGCTGATTAAAGTGACTCAGGAAACCCAGTTGCTTTAGAACAGAGCATTATTTATTACTTAATGGCACATTGCACTGAGAGCAAAGGGACAATACAGCTTAGGCTTCCATGCATGGGTTTTATTGGCATCTTGAACTCCTTGCAAGCTTCCATAAATTTCTCATCCTTGGCTCAGAGAGACTGCTACATTTTCTCCCTTTCTGTGCATATCTGAAGGTGACAGTCCATTCATTTTCTTCTTTCTACTCAGTTGAACATTTTTAATGTTTTAGCATTTCATTTGATCCTAGAGTCAGACCTAGGAAAGTTAAACCTTGCTGGCTTGGTTGGACCAGACACATGAATTCCCCAATTTCCCAGATGATAACTCCATTTTGTTGTTATCTCTATAAATTGTAACATCAGTATCTTTGTGAGTATTACATTTTAATTTCCTCATACCAGACTCCATTTGTTAAGTCTGTGTAATCAGTTGAGTGCAATATCAACCAGCTAGGTAGAGGTGCATCTGATACTCATAAAAATAATATGCATGCATCCCTTGTTTGCTGCAATGGACAAATAAATTAATTTCTTCATTGTTATGAGTCATCATGAATAGAAAGTTACAGAAGTAGGTTTTGTGGATAGAATGATCATTTTTAACAACAGTTCTGCAACGGTTGATTTTCTGTATACTGTATATACCCCTCATACTATGTGAGAGAGGAACGTTACCAGTACATGCAACATACAGATAACGGAATCAAGCAATTGTAGTGTCAACTAGCATTTCAATATTTAACTCTTGGTATGAGTGGTAGAGTATATGTAAAATGTATTGAAGGTACTGTTCTCTTACCACACATTTGAAAGCAAATGGTGTGTATATGTATCAACTCCTCGATCTGTTTTACATTTGCAGGAAGGACAGAACCCAGGTCCTCCACCATTAATTCCAGGACTGGGGCAGCAAGGAGGACAGGGCCGTCTTGCCCCTCACAACCAAGGACCTGGGCCTAATAAAGGTAACTAAATATCTTATTTACTTAAGTATATGTAACCTGCAAGAGAGTCAGATCATGTGTGATGCCTCTAGATCAGTGGTTCCCAACCTTTTTTTTTTTTTACCATGGCCTGGTGGGAGCAGGATGGGGTGCACAGAGCCGACGGCCTCCCTTCTGGGGCTCCCCTGCTGCCTGTCTTTAACCCCGGAAGCTCAGCTGTGACCCTGGAAGCCACTCACCCGGGCGGACAGATGGGGCTCTGAGTGGGGGGGCTTGTGCCACGGCCCCACAGCCAACCTGCCGGGCCATGGCCTGGTGGTTGGGAACCTCTGCTCTAGATTAGTGATTCTTAACTAGGGTGCCACAAGATTCTTTCAAGGGGGCCTCAGGGTGCCATGCAATGTTAGCATTGTTAGGTGTGCTGACATGACTCACCAGATGAACCTAGATTCCAAATAGGAATCCATAATGAAAAGATCATTCTGACTTGTTATGGACTTCCAGAGTTCTTTGCCACAGAAGACTTGCTCTAGTATTTTTCTGTAGTCAAAAAATGAGTGAAAATTAAGAGCTGACATTTTGGCTAGAAAGGTTGAGAACCACAGTTCTAGATTGATGAGGCCAGAACAGAGCAAGAGGTAGGCATATGGAGAGAGCTATCTGCAGATCTCTGGTAGAAATATGGAAGAAAACTTTCCTCTGCATGAATAAATGTTGAATGTAAGGTCTGTTTTTTCAGAGTTGTAAAAACAAACAAACCCAAAAATAAAAATTGAAAGGCCCCTGGAGTAATTTAGAAAGTGTCACAGACATTTTGTTGCATCTTTCCCTTTAGGTGATGCTCGTGGCCCTCCAAACCATCACATGGGCCCTCTCGCAGACAGAAGGCATGATCAGAACAGTGGTCCTCCAGATCATGGTCCTGAGAGAGGACCGTTCCGAAGTGGTCAGGAGTGGGGTGATGGTAGGGACAACAGGGGCCTGCCTGACAGACGAGGACCTCACCCAGATTTCCATGATGACTTTGAGCGGCCAGATGACTTCCGTGATGATTTCCATCCAGACAAAAGATTTGGCCATCGGTTACGTGACTTTGAGGGGAGAGGAGGCCCACCACTACAAGATGAGAAATGGAGACGAGGTGGCCCAGGGCCTCCCTTTCCCCCTGATCACAGGGAATTTGAAGGAGGGGGCTCAAACCGTGGGCCTCCTGGGGCATGGGAAGGACGGAGACCATCGGATGAGAGATATCCGCGGGATCCTGAAGAAGCACGATTCCGTGGAAGACGGGATGAGAGGTAAGAACAAGTCTAGTCAATGCTTTTGGATAAAGGGTAACTGAGGTTGGGGGGATCTTTCTCCTTGGGTTCCTTTTCATTAAGGAATCTATCTGTTTCAGATTTATAAACTGGAAACCAATAAGGAAATGAAATCTCTAGCATACCCACGTATAGAGTATATAAAATCATTCAATAGTAGAAGAAAATATGAAAAACAGTCTTGCACACAGCAGCTTCCATGTCTTTATGCTGTAAGTGTAAAGAAAAGGGAGGAAATGTGTAGAGAGAAGATCGGGTGACACAGGACGGGAGATTTGAAATCGTATTGAGAAGAATTAACGGGAGACTTCAAGGCCAGAGATCTGTACTAAAAAGCGGCAAACTTTGGAACACTAGTAGTGGAGATTCAGTATTTTCATCTCCAGTCCCGGGCTACAGCATGGCTGTAGAAAAATATACAAGTAAGATGTTATAGACTTCCCAGGAGAAGAAACAGTAAACCTACTATAAGTATATGGGGCAGAGATTCTCTCTCTCTTGGACTGTCAATACTATTTTCTCATGTTTTTGTTTTTAAGAATTTTATTTCTCTTTCTGACACATTTCTTCCTGAGTGCTAGGTGAAAAACACAAGAATAGCGTAGTTTCTAGCAATGTCCTTTTAGTTGCTCACAGTTTCCTTGAGTAAAACTCAGGAGACAAATTTTGCTTGAAGTTACTAGTGAAAATAGGGAGGAATTCCTTTTCAGCAAGTAAAGTTAACTGTTGCAGAATTTACTGCAGATTTACACTAGCATAACAGAGAATAGAATTTGGTCTCCATGGTCTAACCTCTCACTGACCACCTACTCCATATGTATATATTATACATGTATATTTGTAAAAAAGTATTGTTGTCTTCACATAATGTACAATCCTGTCTTAGTTGCCTTTTTAAATCATTTTCTTACATTCCTTTTACTTTGCATCTATACAGCTCTCCTTTTAGCTATTTGCTCTGTAAGAGGTACATTTCTTTTGTGTGAGGAATATGAAAAGAAGTGAAAAATAAGTAAACGAAGGTAATCACTCCACACCTTTGAAAAAGAAAGAGTAATTAGAAACAGAGAGCTTCTCCACTGAATGGTCTGTACCATAGGCTTCTGAAAGAGATGGCAGACAATATTTTAAAAAGTACAGTTGTAGCTGAGGTTTAAGTATCTAGGAACTGGGGAGAAATTGATGTGATGCTGATTTGAAAAAGGTTTCAAGAGAAGAGCCTGGGAAGCTACCAGACTTGTAAGTTTGACCTTTGAACTGAGAGGGAGGGATTAAAGTAAGAGTGCATTTATACAGATTGATTGGAGACAATCAGCATAGAACTGTAAGAGGATTATTATGTTTAACAAACATATGAACGTCTTTGAGTAAGTGAGGGGTTGAAATAGACATCATCCTCTGGAGACTTTTAAGGGGTGATCCTGACAGTCCTAACCCAGCCGTCCATCTGACTTGGTTTGGAGTTTAAAGATCATAACTGGTTTGATTAAGGATGGGCGGTGCATCTCTCTCTCTCTCTCTCTCTCTCTCTCTCTCATTCTGCCCCCCTCTTTCTCTGATTTTCTGTCC